TAGCCAATGGTAACCTGATAATTTTTCTTATTTTTATGTGTTCTGGCAGATTATGTTAGTAAAAATAACAAAAAACAAAACTGAAACTGATTAAACAGACCTGGTGGAGCAGCAGTAAGTTTATGGATTTACACTCAACTCCAGGTTTCGATTATCGGCGGTGGACAGAATGCATATTTTGTAGTTTTGAAATAAGGGAACGAGTATAGACAGAACAACATGACGACCTTGTCACTTTGTTCGCGGTTAGGCTTTAACGACAAATGTCAGCCGATTAGTCTGGCAGTATCAATACGTAATATTTGGTTAAACAAACAAGTTTTCTTTAATTTTAAGGCTTTACACGAGCACGAGTGGAAACAAAAGCAAATGGTCAGGTTTTTATTGGATTCCTATAATTAAAATTGTTCTTGTTTTTCTATACCAACACCACACTGTACCCAATTTCCTTTTTCATTTATCATTATCTCATATTTTTCTATTGTTTGTTTATAATTAAGTACAAAGCTACACAATGGGCTATATGTGCTCTGCCCACCACGGGTACCGAAACCCGGATTCTAGCGTTGTAAGTCCGCAGACTCATATTTTTAACCGAAATGTATACCAATATTATGCGCACTTCGAAACTTTAAATCTGTTGAAACTTGGTATTAGAATTTTATCATGTTGTTAAAAACAGAAATAAACGGTACTGTATAATTTAAAAGTATACTGCCCCCCACCAGTGGCACAGCTGTATGTGTAGCCCATTGTGTAGCTATGTGCTTAACTATAAAGAAACAAACAGACAAAAGTATACTACTCAAATGTATCAAAACATTTTTAGGGGAATTTAAGTTTAAAATATTAAATTGGAATCAAAGTGGAATAAATGGAATTTTCTGGAACGACGTTGCTTAGGAATTATGGCTTTCCTTGAAATAAATCACAATAACGGAACGACGTTGCGTAACAATTAAGGCTTTCCTTGGTGAAATCACAGTAAGAAAAAGACGTTGCTTAGGAATTATGGCTTTCCTTGAAATAAATCACAATAACGAACGACGTTGCGTAACAATTAAGGCTTTCCTTGGTGAAATCACAGTAAGAAAAAGACGTTGCTTAGGAACTATGGCTTTCCTTGAAATAAATCACGATAACGGAACGACGTTGCGTAACAATTATGGATTTCCTTGTTAAAATGACAGTAATAGACAAAAATAAACATTTGCTATTTTGTATTGTCATCCAAATGAAAAGTTGCTAATATTAGGTGAGAACAGTTATATTTATTCTTCAGCCAATGACGGAAAACAATTTGAAATTCGAAACGCTCAATAATAAAAAAACAACCACCACCTTTAAGTCAAATACGCTCGGATCGCACCTCACGTAGAAACTAAACAACTATTATATGAAGAATTAGCTTGAGAAATACGTGACAGAACTCTAGAAAATGAGGTTAATATAATAAACTTCGCTTTACCTCACACTTTCCATGAAACCGATAGCTGTTTTGGAAGCGTGTTTTTATTTGTGTTTCGTTTCCAACCTTTTATTTGCAGCTTTATACGTTTGGAATTGTCAGGAAGGTGTTTGTTGCGATTACTTGTACGCGTGCTTTCAAAGTCTTAATGTTATCTTCTTTTTTCTGAAACCATGCCTCTTCTATCTGAAAGCCATGAATGCATTCAGGGCTTACGTGAGATTCCGTAAAACAGTAAAAGAGACCCAAACAAAGCTGACTACGTCAACCGGTTGAAACTCGTGGAATGACGCTGAACCAAGATTTCTCGTATTGTTGTCTTGATTCTTTTCATCGCGAAAACTAAGCAACAGTTTTAACGTTCTTAGGGTTACGTTCTGATTCTGGGTAGAAAAACTAAAACATTTTTGTAAAGTTTTTATCGTGAAAATTTAATATCCACAAAAAAATCTACCATCATTATCAAAGTATATTTTTTAAATATATTATTTTACCATTATCGAGTTTTCAAGGAATGTACCGGTTCCAACGCACAAATAAATACGTTTTTTTTTTCTTATCGCGTCTATAGTCGGTATCTATAACGCTTTGATAATTAAATTTCTAGTAATCATGTGAACGCATGCGACATGAGAAGCTGTTGTTTTCCAAGTGCAAATCTACACAACAAGCTATTTACATTATGTCCACCGCGGGGATCGAATTCTGGGTTATAGCGATGTAAATCCGTCAGTTATAAATAAAAAAAAAATATGTCAGGACATGTAATTTATACAGAATAGCAGATTTGTGAACTCTTTTCTTAATTTCGCGCAAAGCTACACGAGGGCTATCTGCGCTAGCCGTCCCTAATTTAGCAGTGTAGCTAGTCATCATCACCTACCACCAACTCTTGGGCTACTCTTTTACCAACGAATAGTGGAATTGACTGTAACATTGTAATGCCCTCACTGCTAAAAGGGCGCGCATGTTTGGTAGGATGGGGATTCGAACCCGCGACCCTCAGATTGCGAATCCCAATAGTTAAAAGAGCATGTTCGGCAACGAGTTTTTAATCCTGGGAACCGCAGACTGCGAGTACTCTAGCCGCCAGGTTGCTCTGAAGTTAGATCATTCAGGAAAATGTTATATTAGAGATATTATTTAGCTTTTTGGTTTGTCAAAATAGTCAATATGTATTTCGTTTCTTTTAGTATTTCATAGAAATCGAAAGATTTGTTTGTAATTAAGCACAAAGCTACACAATGGGCTATCTGTGCTCTGCCCACCACGGGTATCGAAACCCGGATTCTAGCGTTGTAAGTCCGAAGACATACCGCTGTGCCACTGGGGGCTCATATTTATTATAAAACAGTGTATAAAATTTCTTTAATTGCCAGTATTTGTAGCCAGTATTT